CATTGATAGGCACATAATTCATATTCCTGACATTTCTTCTTTTTCATAGCACTTGGAAAAATCCTTCCTAGGAATCATAACTATTGCTGTTATATCTATTTTTATTTTACGCAATTCCTGAGCAAGCTGAGGGCTTGTAAAAAAAAAAGTGGTCTGGCATTAAAATGGAATAGAAAAATCATCATTTTGGATGAGGTCCAACATAGGATCACAACCAAAATAAACAAGTACAAAAAGAGAACTGTATTAATTGTGGGTAGGCGATCCATGGTCTTCAAAAGCTAAGTGTTTGGGGAGACATCAGGAGGAATGGTTAGAAATGCCTGAGCCCAATGTGGGCTCAGTCCCTGGTCCCGGTGTGGGCTCAGGCATGTAATCCCAGCAATCAGGGAGGCCAAACTGGAGGAGATTTGCTTAAAGCCAGAGATGGAAACCAGCCTGGACAACATAGGTAGAATTGCCGCCACAAAATAATATAAAATACAAATAACCAGGTGTGGTAATGGGTGTCTGTAGTCCCAGTTCCCAGGAGCTCAAGCAGGATGATGCTTGAGCCCAGGAGTTTGAGGCTGCAGTGAGCTGGGATGATGCCACTGCACTCCAGCCTAAGCAACAGAGAAAGTCCTTGTCAAGAAAGAGGAAAGTCTGTAACCCTGTTTTTTCAACCAGTATAACACATTTTTCTGATGTAGTTCTTGCTTGGTTTAGGCATTAAAACTACAGCATAATAAACAAACAGGATTAGACCTTAAAGTTATTTTAAACAAGGTGATTAGTCCCTTTTGTCCTACCTTAGTGGTGTGGGTACACGGATCACATTTCTCCTCTGAAGTCCAAAGTACAATTAAGAGAAGTCCTATGAGGAGTTTCCTCAGGCTTCGGCCATGTGTTGACCAGCCAGCTCCCGGTCTGTGGCTGGAGCAGGGCATGCTGACCGTCTGAGAGTCACCTTGTAGGAGTTGGCTGGATCAGTTTTTGCTTCCCACAGGGGCAGTGAAGTTCTCTTCAGCCTGCTGTGATGAAGCCAGGTGGCAATCCCTTCCACTTTTGCTGCTGTGGGTGTGACCAGGATGACTGTTGAGGGTCCCTTCCACCTTGGTATGAGGGGGACCAGATTCCAGTCCTTGACCCAGACCTGGTCCCCTGGAGAGAAAGGGTGAACAGACATGAAAAAAACTATACAGAACATGGTTAATTGCCCAGGTGGAAATCCTCTGTGCTACTCTTCCTGGGGCTTCTAACAGCCTGTGCAATTCGGCCTCTCCCAGTTCTTTAAGGAGTCCCTGGCAAATTGTGGAGGATCGGTGGAGGCCTGTTATACATTATCTCATAAGGGGAGTACCCTGACCTCTTAGAAGGTGTACATCTACTATTGAACAAGACCAGGGGCAATGCCTGTACCCAATTAAGCCTCACTTCCTGGCAGATATACTGATTCCTGCTTTTACCGGTCTATTCACATGCTCTACCCTGCTCCAGCTCCGAGGCCTATATGTCACATGTAGTTTCCGGATGATAGTCAAGGCTTTGGCCATCATCTGCACTATCTCAGTTATGAAGGCTGGTCCGTTGTCAGATCCTATCTGGAGCAACACTCTTACCACCTCATGAGCCCTCTTTGTCCTGGTGGGGAGGCTTCCACCCATCCCAGTAAGTACTTGCAGACCAGAGCTAGTAAGTCTGGGTTCCTTCCACATCTGGGTAACTCAGTAGAGTCCACCTGCACCTCTCCAAAAGTGGCTGCCCCTTAGGAGTGAATTTCTAGCGATAGGGATGGCTCCTGATTAGCACTGTATTGGCTGCATGCCACACAATTGGAGCTGATTTTCTTGGCAAGAAGCCCCCCGGCGAGAGGGCACCCCGGCCTCATGCATAGTGAGGACAGCTAGAAACGTGAGCGACAACTCTCCCACCTGGCAGCCTAGGCCATTCTTCTCTGGCATCTCTAGCTCCCTCTCCGTTCTTCCCTGCTCTTTCCCTCTCAGCGTATACAGGTGTTAAGTCCAGGGCACATAGAATTAAAGGGGCAGCGGTGGCCGCCCAGCGTGGGAGTGTCGCTGCCTTCTCAGTCTCAGCGTCCCTCTTTGCATTCCCTGTGCCTCCCCGGTTCCTGCTCTCTGCTGCCCCTGACGGCTGCTCGGGGACTCGCTGGGTTTCCATACAGCCTCCCGGAGCGGCGGGATTTCACCTGGGAATTTCAAATCCCCACCCCTCCTACCCCGCCACCCACTCCCCCAAACCCGCACCCTCCGGCAACATCCCACTCTCTGACGCCTCCACCCCCGCCCTAGCGGAGTCTGCACCGGGAATTCGTTCTTGGCTGTTTGTTCAGCCAAATATTCGTGAAAAGTAAAGCTCAGGAGCCGCCTTACCTGCGCAGGCGCCGGCTCTGGCGCTGCAGCCAGAGGACAAACTCTCAGCCTCCCTGGTCACCCTGACTTCTCTTCCTGAGCCCTCCTCGGAAACCCGCTGTTCTCCGAAGCTGCAAGCAGGCGGGTGTCACAGCGTCACCTCAGGGGCTGGAGGGAAGGAACTGAAAGCGAAA